AGGAAAGATCTAAGGTTCCTGCGGTGGAGCGACCCGTGACGCGATCCTACGCTCGGGCCCATAACATGGGGGTAGAGAGGAATTCCAAGTCAGGGCTGGTCCTGTGAGGGTGGTTACCAGGGCTTTGCACATTAGGCCCTTAGAGGATCCATGCAACATCAATTGAGCTTTTAGTGCTTCGATGTGGTCAGAAGGGTCAATATTCCCGTTGTATTTGTCGAGCTAAGACGTCTGCCATCTCGTGGGAGGCACCTCGTCTACGACCTCTTGGATGAACGGTGGTTCCCTAGTGGTCGGTACAACTGGTTGCGTGGGCTAATCTACAGGCAGTGTTGTGCTTCTTTGAATTTGGCTACGCTCCAACTCCTCCAGGCGTTGTCGAAGCTCTTGATCTTGGCGTCCTTATTGTTCGGGGCTGTGGTACGCGGTCTCTCTCCTTCTTGGGCGGCATAGAGCGTTCTTTCACCGAGCTGGACTCAGCGACGGAGACCACACAAGGTGGTGTCTACTTGCTGAGCCTTTCTTTGGCAAGGATCCGCGTAGTTTGATGCGTTCTGCTATGGTTGTCAAGATCGCGAGAGCAGGCTATTGAGGCAAACTTCCTTGTTGTGTCTTGCTATTCATGGTCGGACCGCACTCCCCTTTTATTTGGTTGAGGCATTTTGGGGTCCTTGGGGCGAGGATCGTCCTTCGTACGCGTCGGGGCGTGGGGGGGAACGGCCTAGCTGGGCGGTGCCGCAGATCCTAGCGTCTGCATTATCTCAAAGATCTTATCGACCTTCTCCTACATTGCCCAGAACTACGCAGGATCAACCGCGGCTGGAGGCTAAGGGGTCTCTTCGTGTGGAGGGCTACAATGCTAAGATTCTCAAGATGGAGATCGGCATATTGATCGTTTAAACTGGTTCTTAGGCATCTTGATTGCTTTCTTGATTGCGTGGAAGGGGAGAAAATATTTCAGGAAAGGCTTTTTGTGCGTTTCCCACAGACGGCGCCAATCTGATGCTGCTCAATCCGATGTGGTGCACGAACTGAGGAGAGTAACTAGATAGTCCTTGCCAATAGGAAAGTACCAAGCTACAAGGACGAGACCGTGCTCCAAGACCTGTGATCAAGAAAGATGTTAGAGGCCCGAGGGGTTATCCCCGTGTAAGTACTCCGACGCTCAAGTCAGTAGGAGGTGATGGATGGTCGGGCCGAGCAATAAGGGTGTTGGTCCGAGCAGAGTAACAATATGGGTGTCCAAAGTTGGAATCCCTTACCTTGAGCGGGGAGTGACTCTTTATAGCCGAAGATCCGTGTCTTGGTCGGATTGGGCTTTCGGGGTTATCGAGATAAGGTTTACCGCCGAGGTCCTCGAGCTAGAGTCCTATTCCCCGGTGGAGTTGTCTTCCTCTCTCCTCTTATCTGTAGTTGTGTCTATCCGCATGATGTGTAGCTGACATGACTGAGGGGATAAGATGGGGGGCCACAATAGTAGTGTAGCTTGGTAGAGCTATCACTACGTGGCCGGGCTATGCCGCCGCGACCGAGCTATGCCAACGTGGCTAGGTGCACTAGGCGATGACTGGGCAGCCACGTGTCTCTCAGGACCAGCTAAACCATGACCCGAACAGTATTGAATGAATTGAATAAATTCTATAATCAAACATGAAGCATAATTGCTTGAAAACATGACCAAAAAAGTTCTAAATATTGTGTTGTTTAACATCCAAGTATAGAAAATATTCCTACCTGTTCTCGGTGCACTCCAAAATCAATTGAATTTGGTAACAAAATCTGTTTAAGAAATGTCAAATTAATATTTTCTTTGATATGACATTGGCATGGATGAAAAAAACACAATTTCTACCAAACAGGATTCAAGATACTTTTCTGTAGCTTTGGTACCAAACAAAAAACGTTGTTTCTCTAGGAAACGTCCTACCTGGCAACAACATTTCCAAACAAAAAAAAAGACAAAACGATGCTTCCAACTAGAAATGGCAATGGAGCGGGGCACCCCCTCCCTGTCCCCACCCCAAAGTCAAGATACTTTGCCCCATCCCCACCCTATCCCCGGTGGCGGAGTGGGGCATCCATTTCTCATCGGGGATGAGTAATCCCTGAATTTTCCCTGCTCTAAGGCAATTTCTTAAAAATTATTTATTTTGTGGACAATTTTCATATATAATATGAGAATTTGAGAGTATTTTAGGAATTAAATTATAATACTTTGAGGGTACTTAAAAAATGGAATTATTGGATTCTAGGATTTTAAGAATTTAAGGAAAACTTAAGAGATATTTTAAATATCAATATTAAACCTAGAGATATTTTATTAATTTTACCTTCAGGTTTGGGAAAGGTTCAAAAAATTATATACAAAACCCATCCCCCTGCCCTGTCCCCATTTAGAGTCGGGGAAAACCTATCCCGTTTGGGATGGGACTGGGAGGGGCGGGGCCCCAGTTTTACGAGAAAAATTGCCATCCCTACTTCCAACCCACACATCAACACCATTTTCTAAGCATCGATGCCGAACATATACTTGGTATTTTATTTGAATCCCATATGAAATAATTACAGGAATTCTTGAACTTACTATTAAAAATTGGAAATTATATTTGGTCCTCACAAGAGCATGCTCACATCTTTCAAAGTCTCTTTCAGCCTTGCATTGAGAGTATCTCCCCATGAAAAAAAGCATTCATATTCCCAATGCACAGCGGTAAAAAGCTGTGCTAACAATGTAAACAGTCTTGTGAGAATTGAAGTCGATCTCTAGAAAGCCTAAAAGCTAATACAAGTATCGATATTTTGAACCTTGGCTTATATAGAAAGCCTAAAAGCTATATTTGGTGAAAAACCCAAAAGTCCAAATATGTTTTAATTCAACCAATAAATCAACTTTCCAGTGAACTAAAATTAGCATCTTAAACGTGGATCAATCAATGACGATCAATAAAAGCTGAAAGCCCTCTAACAGAAGCAGAGCCCGATCTACTCCTCACACCGACCACACAGCATGGTCCAGCTGTAGATGGGGAAGATCTACCATACTTGTTTGTTTGTTATTGTTCGTGAGAGATGTTTCAATACAGTAGGATGTGGCTGTGGCCTGTGAAGTCAGTTTAAGGATTTATACTACATAAAAATAATATATACGTGTAAACCGATGTCATGGGATGTTGCATGTAGTCATGTGTAATGCCAGAAATAATGAGGTATTGATGTACAAAAATGCATAGAAAAGGGTTGTAATACGGGTCAAAAAAATAGCAAGTTTCAATGACATTAACCATTCATACTTCTTGAAATCAAAGACAGCTTAGGCTGAGCTTGGATAAGCACAAAGCCCCTATTTTAGGCTTCATGCTTCAGCGCTTAAGTGTTTTCTTTTCAGCTTCAGATAACAATGTTTTTAAAAGCAACTTTACCGAACATTTACTATGCTAAAAAGTGCTTTCTTATAAGCGTTTATTCAAGAAGTGCTTATTAAACGACCCATTTAGAAAGGAAAAACCCCTAATTAACCTATCTAGGACCTATGATAATAATCGAGGGCACGCTTTAGTGGATTTTGGAGGGTCACGGATGACGGAGCTTTGGGCTGACAAAGGGAAAATATGATTGGGCTGGTTGGGTTGGCAATGAACTCCAACGTGTCCGACCTGAAGACTACTCAACCTACAAGTGTCAACAGAAAAAAGATCAAGTCCAAGGCATTACCTATACATCTAATAATACACCAGAGTACTCGATCACTCTGCCACTAGCCCACTACAAAGGATAGAGTGATTTAAAAGCTAGATGCACAGCTGAAGTGTGCGCCCTAACTATGGCCCGAGGCAATTGGCACAAAGAGGGATACCTGATAGTCTGATACCTCCATTGAAAAAACATATATAAGCTAACATGCAAGAATATGCAAATTTAATTTCTGGAAGTGTAAAGCCCTGTTAGTTTAATGGGCTAGGCTCATGGTATTGATAGACGGTATTGATATGGGTTCGTTGTCACCTTGTACTTGTACCTTCAAGTCTTACCTAGGCTGAATGTTACCATCACAGATACAATCTAAGATATTACAAATTATGTGTTCAACTACATCAAATTCAAGGATAATTCACCAAAACATAACAACCCAGATAAGTACACCCTTAGTTCATGGCACCCCACAAAATGAATCTTTTGCCCAATCAGAGAGACATGCCTCCTAAAACACTGGCCTACAGCAAATTATATTTCAAAACACAAGCAAAACGAAAAAGAAAAAATAGAAACCACCTCCACACGGCACTAAGAAAGCTCTTTAATTCAATGAATTATGAAACCTTACCTCAACTATGAGATTTGCCTACACACAGCCCCTGTTTTCCACTCTTACCCAACTCATGTTCTTGTTCTTCCATTACTTCAGAACCATCAATACTATCAGATTTGCTTCATCCATACGGCTCCAACTGATTTGCATGCAACAAATACAGGCATACCAAGGGAAACAAATCTATTAGAGCAGAGACTGCAACTCAGCAACTAAACCAATCATCAGTCACAGCACCAAGATCATTTCCATCAAATTTGATGACAGCAAAAGCCAGCCTAAATCGATATCAGCCACCACCTCACAGGTACAACCACAACTCTATGAGCTGTCACATCCCAATACATGATCAAAGGAATGTTACCAATCACTTCTTAGGTACAGCCATGATTCCATGTACTACCATAACTTGGTACATGATGCAGCATAATTGAAAAGCTTAACAGAGTGGAACACCCTCAACAGAATAAGCAACCATGCATTTGTTACCCTGTCCAGCTCAGCATACTAGGTCACAACTTAAGTACCAACAACAGTGTAAGTGAACATCAGATCCAGCCCCCAGTGGCAGCATCAAACTACAAATAACCACATGCGTCTTTCCAACCATCTTTAGGCCATGACAGGTGACAGCTACATCTATTTTCCTCAGGACCCAAAATTGAACAACCATTTAAGACAAGGGAGCATGATGTAGTTAAAAGATAAATTTCTTGTGGATTTAAGATTATTTAAAAGAGAAACCAATTTTGAATTATCAACCTTACCCATCAAGAAATCATCACAGCAAATTAAACATTTTAGGTGAAGGCAACCACAAGATTAATGTTGTTTGACCAGCGTCAAAACGAACATCATCCATCTAGGAAGTATAAAAGATCATCAACAGCTACTACATCACCATCCGCCAGTCAGCCACACTGACTCTTTTCACGATCATAACTATAAAATCCCAGTATATGATTCATCACAAGTCAGAATTTCCATCAACTGAAAAATGAATACAATTAAAAACACACATACTTGAGATGAATGAAAAACAATAGAGGATACTTTGAAGCAGCAATATAGAATCTATAATGGATATTGGAAAATTTCCAGATCTCCCACAAACTACAAGAGTCCAGAGATCAGTCTACCACCTAACTAAAGAGAAGGATAAATTAAGTTCAAAAATAAAAAAAAGACATAGTTAACCTTCCAGGGAAGTTGAGGCTACCAACACTAGCATTTAGTACTCTAATCAGACAACTTGAAATCCACAAAGACCTGTTTACTGTAGTAATACGACTACACAAGATGCATATGACCAGCACTTGTCACCCCATGTCATGCCCCTCTATCTTTCCTACAAAACACATTAAGATATATTAAAAATAGTTTTCAGCTTCTAGTTGTCATCAAAATCAGAATGTCAAGTGAAAGGGCTTACATCAGCATCTGAATTCCTAGGGGATGGGCTTCGAGAATCAGTATGTCGACCTCGGGGAGAAACACTCCTGGGAGATGGAGATCGCTCATCACGGCTACGTCTTACAGGGCTTTCACCTCTGGAAGGCGGTGTCTTGCGTGGACTTGGACTCCTTTGAGGGCTAGGACTACGCCGATTAGGTGAAGCACTGCAACATACAGCCAGTTGCCCTCAGAAATACTACCATCAACAACAATGAGCATGGCAAACAAGACACTGCTCAGAGCAAAGCATGACAGAATACAACACCTTTCAAATGATCGGCTGCGGGTTCTCTTTCGCTCATCTTCATTCCGATTTCTATCTCGTCCTCTGCGAGAATCTGGACTGGCACTGCGGCTCCTGCTTCGACGGTGATGCTCTCTTTCCCTCCCACGATACCTTTCACGATCGTATCTGCCTCTGCTTCTGCTACGGCTTTTCCTCCTGTAATCTCTGTCCCGGTGATCATCTCGATACCTAAAAAAGTTATCATCAGTAACAGAATGTTGCAGAAGAAGCACAGAATTTCTGAACAACACTACACAAGGCCAATCAATCGAGTTTGAGTGATAAAATGTTTCTTTGGCAATATTTTACCAAGCATAGATGGTTGCGGGTAAAGAATTACAGAGAAAGAAATTAATTAAATTTTAAGCTCCACTGAAGGAAGGGTTTCGTAATTTATATCAACAGCCACAATTGACAATTCATGAGTCTTTTGATTAGTTTCTTCATGAAGTATAACCCACCGTGGTATGTCAACTTTATAATTTTAACCCTAAAATCCCCAAATACGAAATTACACCTAAAGCATTCATCCTGATAGAACATTATAGTAATAGGAATAGGCAAATTGTCCATAGAGAGAAATAGCTAAACAGGAATCATGTCTCCAATCCCTAAGAATAAAGCTTTAATGAGTTGATCAAGTTGATACAAATTGTGCCTCAATAGTTGTATGTTTGTACAAAAATTCCCAATTTCATTTCTAAGAAACTCAGGGATCTGGATTCTATTAGAACAATGAATCATACCTTGGGCGGGGGCTGCGGCTTCTTGACCTGCCTCTTGTCCTCGGAGATACTTCAACTATCCTTCCCTTGTGACTGAGAAAAGAACAAACCAAATGTGCAAATCATCCAATATCCAAATTAATATGCAAGAAGTCGGGGTGGAAATTTGTTAATTACAGGTAATACACCACCACCCCATCCTTCAGGCCAAAAAAAAAGCGAGAAAAGGTGGGAACTTTCCAAGAAAAGCATGTAGCTAAGTAAACACTAAAAACGTATAACTAAGAATGGGAAAACTTACATGGGTTCGGCATTTGGCCCGTATTTCGCAAACTGAACCATGATTTCTCTGCCATCGACGTTCCTTCCTAAATGCACAAGTGGAGACAAAGAAATGGGGAATAAATTCACCACCAATCGATGAACCAGCCGACCAATCAATGAAGATAAAGTTCGTCTAATAGTAGTTATATAAGATGGTAACAGAAAAGGCAAAATTCACCATCGAGTTTCTCCACTGCCTTCTGTGCTTCATCTGCGTACTTATACCGGACAAACGCAAACCCACGTGATTCTCCGGTTCTGTTATATACAGAGAACACATTTTACTATTTTAGCATAAACAAGAGGAATGTTTTGGCACTTTAATGAAGGATTCAATGCAAGAAAATAGATATAAAGAACAGAGAAGTTTCAAGAAACCTTCGATCTCTTGGGATGAAGATGTCAACGACCTTTCCATACTTGTCGAAAAGAGGGAAAAGATCATCTGCAGTGGTTCCTGGTGAAGCAAAATAAAAGGTAAGTATTTAAAAACAGAGTTTTTGAAATGGAGACAGAAGAGTAAACAATCAAGAGAAATATGTGATATTTACTGAAAGTAATATTGAGAACAAGAAGAGAATAGGTGTCTTTAATATCCGGAGGACCAGATCTCCCAAAATGAGACATCTCTCTGAATTCTGAGCTGACGAACAAGAGCGCGAGATTAGGGTTAGGTTTTGAGGTGGAAACTGGAAAGTTGAATACGCACTGCAATTTATCCTTCTTCAGGACTTCGGGTAGCTTTGAGCCATCTATATAATCTATATTACTAGTACAGTGGTGATGGCACGTGCAAAGCAAATGCACGTGCGAGAAGACGATATTGTAAAGATGTCAATTTCTATGATGCCGGAGCGGAAGGGTATCAGACTATCAGAGTTGATCGTGATTACGGCCTACCGTCGTTTGTCCTCTTCTGTATTCTGATTGAAAACCTCCGTGTCCGTGGTTCTCACTCCCGTTGCTCAGGGATTTAATGGTTGAAAAGAGAAATGAAAACGCAATGGATTCGCGCCTCTTTTGCACTGACCATCTGTCCCCTTTCCTCCTGCTCTGTGGGCTGAATCAAAAATGGCAGCCATGGACGTTTAGCACTCTCCATCCTCTTCATCCTCGACTCAAATCCAAGCCATGGATATTTAAATGCATATAAAGGGGTAAGCATTTTATATGCGTTGCGTCCATGTAAGAAGAATATGAGACGAGTTCATCACGTTGTTGTTCGCCGTTCTAATCGAAGATGGGCTTGGACAGATTTAAGAAAAAATCATTCTTTGTCTTCCCAGCCGCCTGAATATCATATGCAATCGTTATTTGAAGGCAGAAAGGCGAAAAAACACACGACCTGCGAATTTGCATTGGTTTCAGCTCTAAAATCCTGCACATCCCTCTTGGCCATCTGCCAAGGCGAACAAATCCATTCATTTGCATTGAAATCCGGTCTTCATTCAAATCTTTTTATCCGGAATAGTTTGATTAATTTTTATGTAAAATGTGGGCGCATCGAAGCTGCTCGTTCAATGTTTGCTTCTTGTTCTCTGTTGGATTCCGCATCTTGGAACATAATGATTGCTGGGTATGTCAAGCTTGGCCGACTAGAGGATGCATATCAATTGTTTCGGATAATGCCCAGTAGAGATTGTGTCTCCTTTACTACAATGATCATGGGTTTTGCTCAGAATGATCGCTTAGTTGAAGCTTTAGACGTTTTTAATGAAATGCGAGCTATGGGTGTGACCCCAAATGAAGTAACATTAGCAAGTGTAATATCGTCTTACTCGCATTTGGGTGGACTTCGGGATATATGCATGCTGCATGCAATGGCAATTAAACTAGGTCTTGAAACACACACCCTGGTTTCAACCAATTTGATTCACATGTATTCCATTTGCTCAAGCTTAGCTGATGCAAGAATTATCTTTGATGATATGCCTGAACGGAATATTGTTTCGTGGAATGCAATGTTAAATGGATATTCGAAGGCAGGCTTTGTTGATTCGGCAAAGGATTTGTTCGAGAGAATACCTGAAAAAGATTTGGTTTCTTGGGGTACAATGATTGATGGATACATACGGGTAGATAGGTTAAATGAAGCTTTAGTGACCTATATTGAAATGCTACGCGCAGGATTTGGCCCAAATGAAGTTATGATTGTAGATATACTTTCTGCTTGTGGGCGAGCAATAGCAACTAATGAGGGTCTACAGTTCCATGGTGCAATTATAAAAACTGGCTTGGACTGCCATGTTTTCATGCAAGCAACAATCATCCATTTTTATTCTGCTTGTCACATGATTGACTTAGCTTGTTTGCAATTCAAATTGGGGAATAAGGAGAATATCTCATCTTGGAATGCTCTTATATCAGGGTTTGTAAGAAATAACATGGTTGATTTGGCAAGGCAGCTATTTAGTGAGATGCCTGAAAGAGATGTTGTTTCATGGAGCTCCATGATCGCAGGTTATGCCCAAAGCAAGCAGTCTAATTTGGCACTAGAGCTCTTCCATGAGATGATAACTAGTGGAATTCAACCAAATGAAATCACAATGGTGAGCATCCTCTCTGTTATTGCAACTTCAGGAACATTGGAACAAGGAAGATGGGTTCATGATTATATAAATAATAATTCCATTCCCCTAAATGACAACTTAGGAGCAGCACTAATTGATATGTATGCAAAGTGTGGGAGTATTAACAAAGCTTTAAAAGTCTTTAGTCAAATCCAGGGCAGATCTTCTTCAATCTCACCATGGAATGCTTTTATCTGTGGGCTGGCCATGCATGGTTATGCAGATATGTCCATTAAATTATTTTTGGATCTTCAAAGAACACATATAAAACCAAATTCAATCACATTTATAGGAGTTTTGAGTGCTTGCTGCCATGCAGGGTTAGTAGATTCTGGGGTTCGGTATTTCAGAAGTATGAAGACGGTTTATAACTTAGATCCAAATATCAAGCACTATGGTTGTATGGTTGATCTCTTGGGCAGAGCTGGGCATCTGGAGGAAGCTGAGCAACTTATAGCAAGCATGCCCATGGAAGCAGATGTTGTAATATGGGGTACATTGTTGGCAGCATCTAGAACCCATGGAAATGTTGAAATAGGAGAAAAGGCTGCAGAGAGGTTGTCTAGGCTTGAACCAGATCATGGAGCTGGTAGAATTCTCCTATCTAATATATATGCAGATGCAGGGAGGTGGGATGATGTGTTTGCAGTCAGGAGGAAAATGCAAAGTGAGAGAATGAAAAAATCGCCTGGATACAGTGGTGTGGTTTGACCAACTCATACTTTGTGTTGCTTATGACCCTGATTACCTCAATTGTGCACTCAATACACAGAGGTCTCTGTTCACAGGATGATAATTTTGCTAATCATTATTATGATGGCCCTTGAAGGATGCATTCTTGGGCTGTTTTTCTTTAACTATTCTGGTGATTTGAATTGTACATTATCATTGTATAAAATCTATAAAAATGTCTGTTCTTTTGAGGAGAAAATAAGGCCCATCATGTAGTAAGATTGTGGGAGTCATGGGCAAAGTTGCTTTATTCTGAGTACTCCAGTCAGATTGGTATAAGAATTTTTCTAATTTCCATATTGATCATTAAAAATAGAGATGGCTCAAAGAGTTATTTCTTGATCCCTCCGTTTTTTAAAGGCTCCATTTCTTGTAGTAAAGGGAAATTTCATTAAAAGATAAAAAGAAAACGATTACATACATATGAAGAGTTTTCATTGGACAGCTATACATCATACTCAAATCATCAAGTATAGGATGCAGCAAAGAAACAAACCTCAAGAATGTGGACTGTTATAAAATTCCAAAGCTTCCCATAGACTATCCCCTAATTCATTCCTCTTATTATCTTTGAACTCTGAATGTGCTAGTGCCCAGTCCACAATCAGTGATCAATATCAACAATTAATCTGTTTTTATCTCAGACCTTGCCTTCAAAGATCTCTCTGTTCCTTTCTCTCCAAATATGCCAACAGTAGAAAAAGGATGACACTCCAAAATATTTACTACTTTATAATCTAGGAACCTAGTGAATATCTCCTTTGGTTGAGTTAGTGACCTGAATAAAGAAAAACAGCTACATGAACTCTGTGGATACAAACTTGGTGATTGGTTCTTGTGGTCTTTAATTTTTTTCTTTTGTACTGTTTTTTTAGATGGTGTCCCCTGCTATGAATCTTTCTAGAAGCAGGTTATCATCATCCTCATTTGCATTTCCTTCCTTGTTCAATCAGAAAGGTAGATTTAGGACTAGTAGAAGATGTTGCTGTTGAATGTGGAGTCGAGGGAAACAACGTAATTTCTAGCATTCGAGGCCAACAGGTCCAACCTGCTGCAAGAAGGAAAGAAAGAAGATGTCAGAGGCCCCAGGAGTTATCCCAGGGGCGAAGACTCCGACAATCAAGTTAGCAAAGGGATGCAAGGGGTCGGACCAAGCAAGAGAGGAGACTTAGAGCTTGAGTTCTAAAGCATGTTTACCTCAATGTGGGAGCCCCTTTTTATAGTCGGAGTTGGCTTATAAGAGGAGTAGTTGGAAGCAGGTGGCGGCGGTTAGCAATGGTTGGTAATGGATGTCAGGGTGCGTCTGGCCGACGCCACGTGTGAGGATCCGTGGGATGGCTGGGATGGATCCAGCTGACGCCACATGTCAAGATCTGCAGGTCGGCCAGATACCCCTACATCAGAAGACAAAGATACTATTCAAGCAGATAGCTTAGTGATGCCTTATAGGGTACAACAACTAAGGAGGTGGAAGAGATTCATTAGTAATTTGGGTGGATGTAATGAAACATTTCAGGACCAAAGGTAGTTATATCGCTTTATCTAGAAGGCAAGATCTTTGGTCATCAGTGTGTAACACCTAATTTTGACTAGTTCAAAGATCAGCAAACCTTTTGGTAGACTCATTAGTTAATGGGGGTGCTAATAGGCATTTTCACACTTTATGCCCCATAGACTTGGGGATCTTTTCTAGGATGTGCTTGTACTTTTTTTAGACTCTTTTATTATAATTCTCCTCACTGTCTTCTAACATTTAACAGTTCTAAAGAGGGTCAAGTATAAAACAAACCCATTTAATCTCTGAGATATTAATTATTTGTATAGAATTGATTTTAAAAGAAATGTTAATTGTACAGAACTACAACCATGTCCCTGGATGAACATGTCAATTAATCGATGCCTTTATGGTAACCAACATGAACTGCTCACTAAATTGGGCCCCCAAATCTCCCAACAGCAAAGTCAGGGATAAACAGATCTGGTTTAGTATGGGGGCACCAGGCCCGGGAAGCCAGGAATTTCTCTTTAACTTGTATGACTTTCTGAAAAAAAAAAAAAAAAAAAAAAAGAGAAAAAGAAAATTATGCCAGCCTGAGGCTGTTTTCTGTTTTCCACATTCCAGTAGTTTTGGGATGCTGGACGTTTTTCTCCCAATACATTAATAGAACTGTCTTTGATTTTGCTCATAAAAAAATATATATGCCTTTTAATACCTTTGTTATCAACAGGTATGGCTACAAAGATGTATGCAAAGAAAATCACCAGACATTTGAGCAGCTGCTTATTGAGAGCCTGGAGAAATTTATCTGTCTGCAACAGTCTTTGGAAAGTGATGAGGATGAGGGTATAAGGTCAGAAGATGAAGCTTCTGGTTCTTGTGTTCTCGTTGCCCCATACAACAGTGTATATTCACTGAGGATTCCCCTTTTGGCTGATTATAAGTGCACTGGCAAGGCTGTCCCAGAAGCTAGCACTTACGAAGAGGTTAAACCAGTTATTTCCATAGATCTACCAATTTTTTAAATGGAGCAGCCTTGAGAGGAAGGCTAAGCTTTCCTTCATATTCAAAGCAAAAGAATATGAATTGTTTATCTCCTTGGCCATGGGATATCCAGGCAAGAAAAGACTCTTGGGGGGCGTTCGTTTTTTGGAGTTTTAGAGTGGGGAAAATTGGTCAATGGGAAATTCCCATTGACCAAGAAACACATGTTCATTTTTCAGATTTATGTGGGGACCAGTGAAAGTTTATTTTCCAGGGTATCGCTTATCGGGGTAAGTGATACCCATCTCCTAAATGGGTAAATTAACTTTCCCATCTAAGTGAAAGTTGCCAATACTTGGATGGGACAAAAATACCCCTTTTAATAATGGAATTAATTTTTATGGTTAAGATGGTCATTGGGTACACTTTTACACCCGGGTAAGTGACTTATCAAAAAGCGAACAGGGCATTGGTTCATCAAGAAGCTAGTTGTAAATTAATTACTTCTATGCATTTTTAAGAGAGCTGCATGAGAGAGATAGCAAGTCTGAGTGTTCTGGGACGCATGTGGGCATGAATTACATGGTTTAAGGTTCAATTTTGCAGCCAGCAGAGGCATTTCTTATTTTATTTTTTTGACATCAAAGTTTAATGGAATGGACGGATCTGAAAAGGCCATGGATCACTGAACTTTGAGGTGGCAACTGACATAAAACTGAATGTTAATAGAGAATGCAATCATCAATCACAATAAGCACGATATGCAGGTTATATCTTATAACTATGGAACATTAAGGACTCCTGGACCTGATCTTTCCACGAACCGACCATTGAAGCTTCACTTAAGCCCGGATTAGCTACACTTGATGGCTATTTGTTAGGGACTGTTTAACCAAGAATAACGCCCCACAACAGCCATCAAGTGTAAGTGTCCTACAAACAGTACTCCAATCTCATTTTGCGTGCATGGTTGACGTGGGGCATTGTTATTGGTTAAACTGTCCCTAACAAACAGCCATCAAGTGCACGTAATCCAGACTCTCCTCACGTTATTAATTGGAATTGTTCTCTAGTTTTCCATGTTGCATTTATTTATTTATTTATTTTTTGTCTCATGTCTTGTTTTTTGTACTCAGGTAAGATGCAAGAAAAGGCTATTCTGGAAGATTAGTCATTTTCTTGATACAATCCACATTAGGGTTGGTTATCTTGTGAATCTTGTCCATGTGAAATTTGTATGGTCAAAGATTCTGAAACCCTCGATTCCGAGAGATGTTCATGGTTAATGGTTATAGGTTAAGGTGGCATAATATGTCGTTGTTCCTTTATTATGCCGAGCAACAATGACTAGTAATTATGTGCAAAATTTCCACTATTTTTTTGATGTAGAATAAAAGTGAATAATGTCTCTAACAATAAGGATTAAAGTATCAGTATCAAGTATCGTATTAGATCACTTGGATATGTATGCAGATATGGATACGCCTTGTAAAGGCATGGATATGAACAAAAAAAAATATGGATACACTAGGAAATGCATATAAATTCCACAAATATATTAATAATATTATATTTAAGGTCAAAATAACCATAATTGATGCATAGATATAAAGCAAATGTATATTTTAGTGGTATATGTGAAGAGATATATTACAATTACTATAGCGGGATACCTAGAAATCATACAATTTTGTTAATAATGTATCAATCAAGAGTGCTAAAACATATTATATTTATTTTTGCAAATTAATACATGCACAAAAGCTATTATCATATTATTTTCTATTGAAGTTGAAGGCACAAAACATATGCAACTATTATATGTGAAATATTATATCAATTATTTCCTATTTTACTATTTTTAGTTTTTAACATTAACAAAAAAGTCAAGTAAAATTAATTTTCAAATGTATGGCAAACAATATTTTTATTTTTATAAACAATAAACATGTTATTACAAAATTAATTAAAATTTCGTTTAATAATTTATAAAAATATATAATCTTAAAATATATCAAATATATTAAAATTTATACAATACATATCATATAAAAATTCATAGTTTGTAATTACTAAACTAATTATTCTATTAATATTTTTATTTATATAAATTTTATGAAATAAAAAAAAATCTTTTTGATGTGAAAGTAAATTATCGAATTTGACAAATTCAATTTATACTATATTCTCAAGTATTTTATAAATATTATTTTTATTTTTTGTAAATTATAAATATGTTACTATTTAATGTAAATTAAAATATTAAATAATAATTTATAAAAATTTTTAGATACACATCATGTTCAAATTTACAAATTTTAAGTAGTAAAATAATTATTCTATTATTAATATTTTTATTTACATAAACTTATTGACATTAAAAACAAATTTTTGATATAAATGTGGATATGAGAAATCATTTATTCTATTATTTTATAAAATAATAATTTTGAATAATTTTTTTCATCTTTAGTTGATGTTAAACATAAATATAATTTATTTGTTGGGATAACATTTAGATGTTTGAATGGATAAAAGTAATTTCATTTCATTACTTATCACAAGATGAAATTTGGCTTAGTGGCTGAATATTGTATTTAAAGTTTGCATGGCATCTCCCCTCGAGGTATAGCATCTCTCTAATCTCTCCCACTCTTCAGCCCTCTTGCTCTCCTACTTCCTCTACATTCCTCAGACCAGACCAGCTTGCCCTTAACAGCTCAACCCGGCCGCCCTCTACTTATGCCCAAGGTTCAAAATATCGATATGCTGGTAGAGGCGTATCGAGTAGTATCGATAATTTTTATTTTCAAATCCAGTTCAGAGGGGCCGGTTTAAGGTCTGCCCACCCCCTGAACCGATCAAAACCCCGATACACCCTCTGTAGGGCACGTATCGAGAAGCTCCCGATACGGGCCGATACATATCGATACTTTGAATCTTGCTTATGCCTTATTGACTTGAGCCTTAGAGTGCCTTCCCTGGGGACCTCTTCCTCAAGACCTCTGACCCCACACTAGTTGCAGGTTCTACTCGGTGCACCTCTTCATCCTTCCACCTTGGCTCGTCCAAGTTGGCTGGATTTATCTATTGCACGTCCACCTTGATTCAGACAGCATGACATAGCTCCTAAACTCATGTATCAAGGGCCTAACTTCGGGCTTAATGTCGATCCATTGTTCTTGTAGGTAGAAAAAGAAAATCTGAATTTTGATGCATGTTGACTGATGAGGCAGCCATGATAACTCTCCTTTAGACTAGTAATCCTTGAGTGCCATGATTGGGATGATATGAAGTGATCCTATGCGAATACCTATGGAACCCAAGGTTCAATATACTAGTCAATACATGGTGTATTGTATTGGATTTTCTGAAATACCAACATAAATATCTGAGAATAGGAGCTGTTTTGAATCTTTTGATGGTGCAATGCAATTTACAGAAATTAAATTTATAATTTATTCATAGAATCCCTATTACTTGGCCCCAAAAGTCTACCACATTGGTTTGCATTAAAGAAAAAAAAAAGTCTACCACATTGGTAGATATGGAAGAAATGGAAGGGAGGTGCTTCAAGATCTTCCATGCTAAAATTTAGCAAAGTTCGAAAGACAAAATCCTACTGTTTTATTTTGCGTAGTCAAATTCAGTCAAATAGTTAGCTACATGGTTGTAACTTTGTAAGTTGCTGGGCTTCCCCAACTGTTGCCAGTCTTCCCTGTTTGGACTGGTAGGATTTGCAGATGGAAATGGAATTGATTCCCTTTTATTCTGTTTCCACTGTTTTAATTTGTCAGATGAGAGGGGAATCTGAAAAAGCTGGATAACAAAGGACAATGTCCACCAACTTGTGCAAATTTGAAATCCTTGTGGGAATGCCATTTTGAAATTCCTCTCTTGGAAGAACTAAAATCTGATGAATTCATACTCATTTTTGCATATTGAACCAAACATAGTTCAAGTCTTATGATTGGTGAACTCACATTTTATGATTGGTGAACTCACATTTGAGAAATATCATATTGCACTTGCGTGCTATATTGCTATTTGATTTCTGACAAAAGGTTTGTATTTGTCAATTCATGTGTAAATAATGCAATGGTCAAACATGCGCAGAAGAACAAAATATTTCTAATCTAATAATAAATAAATGAGTTATAGGAATAAGAAACTTCATGAGTATGGCATGATCACATTGACAACTAGATGAAACTTGCTTCCTTCTGTAGTTTCATACTCCTAGTAAGAGACAAGAAGACTTGGTACAAGTTTGGAGCCCAAAAGGCACCAAGGGAGAAGAAATTAGATATTCTCCCTCCAAAATTGAACAAGACAGAACAAGACCAAATGGATAGGCAATTAGCATTTACTAGCATTATATATCAAATTCAATACATTGACACTTACAAAGAATGCAATTTCAGAAGTGAAACTAACATCTAACAAGATAGTAATTTCTTGAGATTGTGTGGCAGTGTTTTATCCAAAATGAAATGAACTCCCAGCTAAAAGAAATGTCTCCTTCCAACCAAGTCTACCAAATGCAGCTACTGAAACCCACCTATTGATGGATAAAAGATCCAATTAGACTTAACTTTTGAACCAATGCTTCCACGCCTAAATAAGAAAAAAAAAAGGTTCAAAAATTGTTTCTGATATAAACAGAGAATCACAGTGAAATGAAGAAACCAATGAATTAGTAACACACCATCAGCCCTGAGATGCTTCTTGCAACAATCCCTCGCATCTTTACGAGGAAATATCTCCTATAGCTCCTTGACCTGCCAATTACCACCAAGATTCATATAAATCACAGGAAACCCTGAATTTATGTACACTTTACTCTTCCATTTAGATATGTTAAGGCAATTAATTCACCACTAGGTCAAGATGAGCAAACATTTGATCTATTCTTATCCAAATCCTTAATGGTGATCAAACAAAAGCCGAGCAGGCATTGATCTAATAAGCTAAAATTTTCACTTCAAAGAGAAAGCATGGTTGTGTGTCTTAAAACAAACCAAATCTGCTGAAAATAGGCAGATAGCATGTCATAGAAAATAAACTGATTCTTTCCACAACTGGGACATCTGACCATCATAATCAAAATGAGGACAAGAACCTCCTCAGGTTTTATGTATTTGGGGAAGGTTTTTCTCTTTGGTTGTAGGTAGGACCCACCACTTGATGTAGAAAGTCTTTTTAGACCATCCTTTGCATTGCCTAGGAAAAGAGGAAAGTTAAGGTGGTAATAAACAACGGAAGTAGTGTGTGGGTGATATTGGAAGGGAGGAATCTTAGAATATGCAATGATATAAAATGGTCAAAGGACACTTCATGTGAAACATCTCAATCAAAGTGGTGCATTGGATCAAAACTCTAGAAGCCTTTGCCCACTTTTCCACAAATAATATCCATGGGAGCTGGCAGTATGTAGCATACTCATCTAAAAGAATCCTCTCCTTTAGTGCAGTGGAGTCCTATCCATAAGCAAAATAAATTGAATTTTGATGGGTGCAGTATGGGTAAATATGGACTTATCTGGCATTGGTGGAGTATTTAGAAGCAGTCAAGGTTCAATAATAGCCATATGTATTCAGGCCCCATAGGCATTGGAAACTCTACAAGAAGTGTCTGCAATACTATGGGGACTGAGGTTTAGCATATCACTTCATATCAGTAATTCAATTGTGTGGAGGGGGATTTTAGAGTGGTAGTGAGATGGCTGAGAAACTCTAGTGAGCACTTGTGGCAGTCTAGAAATGCGACAAGGTAAATAAAGCAGCTAGAAAAGGACATCACCTATTCAAGGATTAGAAGATCAGCAAATTCTTTAGCTGATATAATGGTTAAACAAGGGGTGGATAGGCTCAAATGTTTTAGAAACACTTGTAAGAAGACCTTTTGTATTCATAAAGAAGGAAATGGTTAGGTAGCAGATGCTAACATACATCCTTGGCTGCCCAGAATTGTTGATATTTCTTCTTTCAATTATAATCAATATAATTTTTACCTGTTACTAACCTAAAAAGTTAAAATAAAATAAGAACCACCTCATTTTTTTCTCCTAACTGTTCAATCACAATATGAGTTAGTAGAGAGGAATCAAAGCCTTTTTGCATGTGCAGAAGTAAAAGCTTCAATCTTCCACAAGTTTCAGACCAGGACAAAGATAGGTGCATCCTGGCCATTATTCTTTGCATGGTGTGGCAGAAAAGGTATCTGGCTCAACAATTTTCTTTCTCCCAAAATCCATAATTTTATGTAGCATCTTGGAGGAGAGAAACTCCAAAACTAGGGAATATGCAACACTTATTTGCGGTTTTATGGGCTAGGTCTTTGACATCCAATATGAACACTTCATTTAATAGGACCCAAGGATCGGCAAATCTCTAGCTAGGGAAGGGCTGAGAGTAAGGACTTGTATTGGGGGGGCCTGCCTTAGGGGGTCAAGCTGCTTAGACTTGTGTACTTTTGGGATTTGTTTATCGACATGAGCTAACATTCTGTGTAGCTTGTTTCCCATTTGTACTTCTTTTCTGATTTTATAATTAGTTATGCTTTCTGTAATCTGCCAATGATCAAATGAAAAGTTATTGTGCTAACCAAGAGAAATATTAAAAAATGAATAATGAAGGATAATTATCATAATTGCTTACCATGAAGATCAGATTTAAATCCACAATTGGTCAAATGCTTTGCAAGGGTCTCTCCTAACTGTTGTTGCCAGTTCTCTGTAACTTTGACTTCAGCAACAGGCCACACAATTGCTGTCTCTGATGCAAGATTGACACTGGCAGAAGATACCTGTGGCTGGTCATACATAACATCACTATGTTATAGTTGAAGTGAAGCAGAATTTATGTAGAAAAATAAACTAAACATTTAGCATGAAAGTAATGGGTAGATAAAACTTTAAAGCCTAAATCACTTAAAAATCTTATACCATCAGCTATAGCATAATCACTTTCATAGATATTCATAGTTTGGCTGCCACCGAAAGTATGAAAGCTTCCAATTTATCTGATTGAATGTCAGAAGCCAAGTATCAACAAAAGCAGCAACAAACAAACAAACACCAGGAGGACTAATCCTACACATCTAGGCCTCATAAATCCACAACTAACAATTTGCAAGGTGTTTTTGGATGGATGATTCCATATATGCAACAACTATTCTGCATGAGGATAAAATGTTGGCCATCTAGCATAAGTTCTTTCCTTTATAGAGAAAAGACAGCAGTGATTTATTATATTTCAAAATTGAAGATGCACATGAGAGGATGTATAGTTATGCATATGTATAGATGAGCTAATTCTTTCCCTCCAAGGTCTTAGATTATATTAAATTGTCTCTCTAGAGTTTGAAAGGAATCCATATTGAAGGATTCTAGATAGTCATTAGTAGATTCAGGTCCATGGAGGCCTAGTCACTACATCTGACAGATGAGATCCTTGGCTTCCGGACTGAAGCCCTCAATCTGTTCCAAGAACCAGAAGTTTTGCTGCTGATCATCTTGCTATATGGGGTGTGAGGGGAAATCACTTCTCTTGTTAATTGATTTTTCTTACACAGGTTCTGAATTTTTGTAGGTGGCGCCTCTAATTCCTTGTGTGGGATTTGGGTGGCCCTAGTTTCATCTTTAGGCTAAATATTTTCTTAACAGTCATCTTTTAAGTTAAAATATTAGTTGTATGTCTACTATCTTCCTTCAATCTCTTGGATAGGAGGATTCAATTATGAAATTTAATGATGGAATAAAATTAGGAGGTAACAAGTACCACAACCCATAAAAGGAAATAAGAGCAATGAGCTTAAAAGGCCAACAACTAAATGATAAGAAAACAAAGTTACAGTGTAGAAGCATCTCTGCAGTACATTTGTTGCATGGAAAGGTACCTGCCACAGAATAACAAAAATCTATTAACCCTTCCATGGAAAGGCTATCTGCCAACGCATTGGTTGACCTTGGGATCCAATTAAACAAGATGTTCATTATGGATCCCAAGGCTCTTGCCTCACCAAGTAAATTCTCCAGCTTTCAGGGACCATCTAAACCATCATGCAGCCAATCAATAACAACCAATGTCTCCATCCACCTCAACTCTGTTCTCAACTTCTCCCTCTTTTAAATCAAGTCTTTTATAGTTAACAATCAATAAAATGCCACAAGTTAAGCTATATTATATATGAGTCTTTTATCAATAACAGTAAGCAGAATTTCATTAAAAATATGGAGAACCAAGACATATATCACAACTCATAGCTGATCAAAGTTTAACTACTTGAGTGCTTACAATTACCTTATGTGCATTTCTCTTCCAAGGCCTGGGGCTCCCAAACCAAGCCTGTCTTTTCTACTTGCTCTTGCAAATGAGTCAGCAAAGTTATTGGTAGATCTTGGGGTCCAATTGAACATTTGAACCAGCAGTTCATATTATTTATCAAGTCCTTTGCTTCTCTAACAATATGTCTTAAGGGTCCAAGCCTCCAAGCACCAGAAGCTGTGGAAGTGAACCATGAAATGACTACTTGGCAGTCCCATTCAACAATTAAATTGAACAAGTTTGAAGAAAGGGCCAATCTTAGACCTTGCAAAAGAGCAAGCATCAGCTCTTAACAAATTTCCTTCTCACAAGACCTAAGAAGCCTAGCAATATGATTCCAATTTTATTCCATATCACACCCCTATTCCTGTTTTTCCAGGATTACCATAGAAGCAGCCATCAAATATTAATTTGTGGAACCCCAATTCAGGGGCAACCCATGCATGATCTATATGTTGGTTTCTTTGAGCAAAGCCAACCACTGTAAACCACACCCACTGGCACTCCTTCAAGTCCTTCCCTTGTTAATACCCAGTGGACCAGTGTTACCTTAATAAATAAGGATAGTCAAGTCTTCCATTGGCTCCTTGTTACCAAAGATTCTTGAGCTTTTTTTTTCACCCTAGATGCTCCATATCACGGCTGCCCTTGTACAGCATCCAAGTATTTTACTTTTTTTTTTTTTTGGTGTATTGCAATCACTGGGGAGGAAAATAATTCAATCACTTCATTTGGAAGATTTCCAGATTACCCAAAGAGAGAAAGAAATGATTCCAAACCTTTACAACAAAGAGGCAGGCGAGAAAAAGATGATTAGCACTTTCACCATTTCAAACCTTAGGATTTTTTTTTTCTTTTTGTATTTCAGGTAATAGTTTTGAAAACTTTATAGCCATATAGTCTCAGGTGTGCTAATTCGGAATTTGATACTCTGTCTAAAGAGTGCCTTCTAGTTATGCTTATCATCAGTGAGGTTTTCCAGAAATTTGTTTTCCAAAAAAAGAGAACTCAACTCTGCGCTGTATATTTTCTAGCTCCAAGCACAATTAGAGAATTAAAAGCTACCATGCTAAAGAAGCAAAATAAATTGTAACAAGCAAAAAAGAAACAGTTCACAACGTCTTCATTTGAATAAAAAAAGATGAAAAAAAGTAGGACTTACTTGGCTTTCTAATATTCTTTTCACGCTTGCTGCACATCCTCCACAAGTCATTCCCTGCAATTGCAAAATTAGATATACATAGATAAGCATATAATAAATGCTATATATACAGTGCATTTATTCTTCAAAAATAATAACAAGGTTAAAAAACTTAAGATAGATGAGCATGACTTACTCCAACGTGAAGGATTATTACATCGGAAGACAAGGTCGAAACCTCTTCGGAGTCTCCCCCAATAGATTTTGACTTGGTTTCTCCGTTGTTTGATCCATCACCGCTGTCGCCACCCCCACCTCCGTTACCTTCATTGGTATCATCTCCGCTTCCACCGGAAGCAAACGAAGCAGTAGAGCTCGATATACAGGCCATACGAGACGATATCGGAGCCGCTAGATGCAAATTCCGAAGAGAAGTTCCAGGCGAATAGATTGGAACGAACTGACTTGACCTCTGAAAATTGCCATCATAGATGCATCTGATTCTACCGGATGAAAAACGTTTCTGAATGCTTGGACTTAGAGTTCGTGATAAGTGGTGGTGGAGGCTACAGACGACGAGGTTATGGGAAGAAGAAATGGATTTGGATAAGGTGAAGAGAGTTGTTCCAGAAACTGTGGATTCCATTAGAGCAGGCTTCTGAGGAGATGAACTGGAACCAATCTTACTCTAATCTGTATTGATCAGTATGTGCCTCTCTCCGCCTTCAGATTGTGAGCATTTTCTGGTTAAATTAAAGACTACGACGCGGGAGTAGGTGCTAAGATGGGCTCTGGAATTACTCAAGAGCCCCTCTTGGGTCTTGGCAATGGCAGGAATGAAATGTGCTCACCAATCGTGAAATTTGTGGTTCTCGGCCATCAATTACGACCGTTGACTTGGGGCCGTTAGATAACGGCTGAAGTTGCTGAATTTAAATACTTATTACTTTGTTTTCTCGTTATTAAAATGGTTTTCAACGATGTGGTGAGCCATTTATTCGGATTAATTGAATGCTTTAACTGTTTAGCGGGTCGTGGAATCAACCATGAGGTTTCATATCACATTAATGATGAGATTTTAAAGATGAGATGTCACATCAGTAATAAATTTATGGTAGAGATGTTTCCGATTCACGGTGGATGTGCTTGTGAGGCACTCATTTGTGAGTAACAGATCATCCTGTCACATCATCAGGAGATGTTCCCCGTATATGGCGGAGATATATTGTGAGACGTTGTGGAGTGTAGATCTGAACTCAAATGCAGACCCATGCATTTAAAAACCGGCATAGAACTTTATCATTGGTTCACAGTCCCACTAAACAATTAAAACGTTCTTACTCAAAATGATAAACTTTTAGATTCAATATACCAAATGGCCTTTTTAGTGGATCTCAACATACCATCCTTCCAGACTGAACCTTACAAGCAATTCCAGTTCGGTTGAGGAAAAACCAAAATAAGCTTTGAACCAAGCTTGAGGTTCGATCTCTAATCAAGTTGAGCTCAAGTAGTATGAAGCTTGGCGAGCCTAATCAAGTAGTCAAACATGTTTTTTTTTTGGTATATTTTATGATTGTAAATGTTGAATAAGCAAATTATTCTTCTTAATTTGATGAGAATATGAAATTTTAATGTGCTTTTGTGAACAAGGAGAACAACTATTGAGTTCGATCTTGAATAGGCTTAACTAACTCTCAAAGTTTTAGGTAAACTCAAACATATGAGATTTTGAGTTGAATTGAAATTGAATTAGTATTTCTAGCTAAAATCAAGCTTGAGCCCAAAACTTGTAGCAAAGGCATATGCAATAGGCTATATAATCAAATTCTGAGAACTATCCTATACTTTGTGAGTAATGATACTAAGGCCTCTGAACTTATTAGTCACAAAGAGTTACTATGTACTTTTAGATTTCAACAATCTACTCTACAGTTAGTATTGTTATTTTTATTTTTTTTCAAAAGGAGGAATCACTAAAAACATCACGAAGGATTTAAACTAAGACGAGGGAGGAGTCTATCAAAAGCAAGGTTTTTAAAACCGAATTGAACCGGTTAGGGGTCTGGTTCCTAGGTCGAACAGTCTGACCGTTCGAACCAAATGGATGGCTTGTTCTAACAAAAAAATAAAAATTTAAAAAACAATAAAAAATGCAAAAACTATTGGACAGTTCAAATGGTTCGATCGTCCAAGTCAACGGTTTGCTAACCAAATCAATGGTTTTTGGCAAAATAACGGTTCTAGAATAAAACGAAATTGATCACCTAAACGGTTCTTGGTTTTCGGTCCAATTTTGAAAACCATGATAAAAAAGATAAAAGAGTTCCTTAATCTAGCTTTCCTGGTTAGAAGATGCTCTAATAATGTATTACATCTACTTGCATAAACCAGAGATATGTTATCAAAAAAAGTTAAAAGATGCTTGATGTGGTCTATAAGGTGCTGTTCATTCTATAAGATGTTTCTTTTGGTTCCTCTAATGCTTTCTAACACTGCTTTGCATTTGACGAAAGAGTTTATGAAGTGTTCTGAGACCATTTTTACTTTTTTATGAGACCATTTTGCTCTCTTCTTTATAGTTAGAGCTAATGATGGCAAATGCTGACATCTTTCAACTCTCATTAGTCTCTCTCTTAAACAAATGAAAAGAAAAAAAAGTAAAGAAAATAGTAAAAATTTAAAAGTTGAGTTTTTGGAGATACAATGAAGGAAATGGTAAAGTGATCTAAAAGTTAAAAACTAACATATGTGGAATATTGAAAACTGAAAATACAAGAGAGAGGATAGCTCTTTGTCACAAATGAAATTTAGGGATCTAAGTGTCACTAGTCCCATAGTACAATTAACGCCAAGGATACTGACATGTTCACTCTATTGGTCCCACCACACTCACATAGTCTGTTGTACACGGAAAAAACATGTAAAAACTATAATGCACTCCACCTCAGACTAGCTTTTTCGAACGTGCGGAATGGTTTGACGCAAGGATACTTATATGTTCACTCCTTTATTATATAGAATAATAGAAAGTTCTGTAAATTCTGTTAACTGAATTTCTAATTCTAAAAAATGAAATCCAAATTTTTGGTTTTAACTAAATATACTCACCCCTAGGGATGGGGAATGAAGTCCCGTCCTGACCCTGATTATATTTATATTAAATATTATATATATATATATATATCAAAATATGTTTAAAATATTATTTATATTTTAAAATCTTCTTTTATTTTAAGTAAATTTATCTTTTAAAAATTTCTATTAATTACAAAAAATTTGGGGATTCGGGTCCCTATGGGGAACTTGCCTTCGTTGAGGATCGGGGATGGAGGACAATTTTTATCCCCGATTGGGATTGGGGTCAAGGATAGGGATTTATATCTAAATTGGGGTCAGGGACAAAGACTATGATCCCTGCTCCATTGTCATTCCTACCAATGCCTGCTCCTCCAAACACTCCTGTGAGATAACCAGAGAACATCGTTCCCTCGCCTCTTTCGTTGTCTGCTTTGTAGCAGGCATACCTATTGGCTTGAGTAAACCTGACAGAAATTTTCACTTTCTTTTTTGTTTTCCTCTCCCCTGTCTGATGTACATAGGTGAAGGTGGATTTGGGAATTTCATCAAAACGTGATTAATTCAGTAAATTTGCATGTAAAATAATTTACAAAATGGTAGAATGGGTATTCAGAAAAAAAAAATTCAGTAATGCATCAATCTAACACTTTATATCTGAGTCGGTGATAGAAAAGAGGTTTTTGTTGAGTTTTTCAAAAGTTCAAAGGAGATATTTGTTAAAATGAAACTATATGGGAGGTTTTTATAACTGTCATAAACTTGATGAAAGGTTTTTGTATTTTACCCTTTGCAAAATTAGAATCCGATTACGTAAACAGATCATCCAAATGGAGAATAATTGGATTGGATATAGGATGACGGATATTGAAGTTTCAAACTTTTGATGGACGTCAACATCTCTACCAAAAATAAGGCATGTAGAGGTAGAGAGGGCCATGTAACTAATCAGAAAAAAAAGAAAAAGAAAATAACAAGAAGGATCCGATCCCTATAGTTCCAGGTTCATCTAGCAGACCCCAAACACATGGGGTAATGCTTAGATGATGATGGGGTTTACAATCTTGTTAGACTCGAACAGGAAACAATCATGGGTTAAGCAGCCCACCTGTTTGGTTCAATCATCCAACTTATTCAAATTGAAAAAGGTAAATAACCTCCCCTTAGTTTTCTAAGGTGATTGTTTGACATCTACGCGGATTTCCCAAAAATCAGTACCATGTTGGATCCACATGAATCAGTGATTGTTTTTTCTTGTTTGGTTGGCTGATTATGCTCTGAGAAATCAGCAAAAAATCAATCCCTAAAATCAGTTTGGGCAAGATATCACAACATTTGGTGACTCCCCAATTTTCAGGCGATTCCAATTTTTATTAGGTGAGGTGGTATCTTATGTGGCAAGGGCGAGAAGGTGTTCTAGTGCTTCAATGAAAAATGATCACTCTTGAAAATAAATACCAAACAATCTCAAAAATGATTTTTAAAAATTCAGCTGACATGGAGGAAATGATACCGAATAAAAAAAACGATTTTTGGAAAATCACTGATTTCAAAAAATCAGGTGTGAAGAATCATCATGATGCCAAAAATCACCTAAAAAGGCCTTAAACCTTTTCTGAACTTTGATCTGCACTTAAATCCCCCTGGTTTTTGGAGATAAAGTCTGTTATGCCCATATTAATTACTCGAATCAAGTTGTAGATTTCTTTGCTCAAATAGGTTTAAGTTTTTTTTTTTTTTTTTTTGTTAAAGGTTTAAAGATATATTTTAGTCAACAAGCATTCGATGATTTAATACAAAGGAAAAATTGGCATTATATTATATTTAAAAAGGGCAAAAAAATGGAAAATAGTTTTGATTTATCATATAAAGTTATATTATATCAAAACTAATTTGAAACTATTATATATGAGCTCATAGGGTATGTTATTAAACTCAAATCATACACAAAACTGTTTTGGTCCTACCGAATATTTGACCCACTAAAATAATTAAATAAATAAATAACCATAGCTATTAATATTATTTTACTAAGATTATGTCACGATTTCAGGGCTCTCAATGGATTGATGCATTCCCGTCTAGAATCAACTCTATTTGGGGATTAACAAGTTTAATTCCATGGTGTTAGGTTCAAAAGTATAAAAAATTGTTTCGGTCAAAAACAGTCAAATCATCCAATTGTTGGTTCAACCATTTGACTTGTTCAAATAAAAATATGTATAAAAAAGAAAAGGATAAATTCCCTGTACGCTCTATATATTATGGGGTGTTTCACTTAGCTATCTCATTTTGTACAAGATTGTCCCTGAAGTCTGAACTGTAAATAAATACTTCTGTTGGACATTTTGAAATGCTCAAATTATGTGAAAATATATGAGTTTCAAAAATTCAGTTTTCAAGATAGTCTATACATTTTGAAATCCCTATAAATGACAAAATACATGTACTTGCAATATTTCATGTAAGGCTTTATATGTGTTGTGAGGTTCGTGTTAGGTGCAAATCCTTTCTCTTCACTTATGACTTATGAGTTACCTCTGCTCGGGCAGTGTTTTAGTTGCCAAAGTTGCCACATGGATGTCTTTGTGTCTAATGCCTTCGGACCACATTAGCATGCTGTTCATCTATAAATAGACAACTATGTCATCGAAGTTCTTACAAAGAAGTAAAGTCTCACACGGACAAGGAGAAGTGCCCTCATTAGGGAAGGTGGAGCTTCCTAAAGACATCAGCGGGCGACTTCA